ACACTCGCCGACACATTTCGGTCAGTACATTCAATCGTGCAAATAACTGATCGGTAATTCGAAGAAAAAAACAGGAGGTAGAAAGAAGAAAACAGTCGTAGAGAAGAGCACTCGTTATACATTGCAAAACACACGTTTTTTACAATACGTATATACATTGTATGTTATACCCACCATATGTCAATCTGCAATCTAAGACTATTTTCGAGAGATAACATAATTTATATTAAAAAACTGTAACAACCTAAGCGAGTGTGGGTTTGAGAAAATAGTATCGTCGTATTATAAAATTACAATTGTTTAACTGCTGTATCTAATTTTCATTATCGATTTAGATGTGCAATATTTTGTTTGTATTTATACGTTTGTATTAAATATATTCAACGTGAATATAAGTAATGACAATGATATACAAACTTAAATTTCTGAAATTAAAATATTATTCTACATAAATTCATGTAAATTGACAAAATCCAACATACTTCTTAATTGCAATCTTTCTTAATAATCATAATATTTTTAAATAGTTTTTTATTATATAGCCTGATATTTTAAACATATATTTGTTTAAATTATAAAAGATTTTATAATTTTTTACTTTTTCAAAATTTTTATCGTGTAATTCACTCTATTTAAAGGATATGTTATTTTAAATTTTATTATATTTATCGTCACTTTTTAAATATTGTTGCAATCTTTCAAAACAATAAATAGTAATAAACAAAGTAAGATAAACCGAGAGAGAGAGAGAGAGAGAGAGAGAGAGAGAGAGAGAGAGAGAGGATTGGGTCTTATTTTTAATCGTATGTAGGATATGTTTGTCAGATTGATGCATCATATTCGTGTTTCAAAATATTATATGTTTAACAAAGACTCGATATCAATCGGGCGACGCAGGAAACGATGGATAATCTTTCACTCTTGGCAATTGAAATGGAAAAATTATTATAATAAAACAAAGAAAAGCAACCGAACAAATAAGAACAATTTTAAAAAATAAATTAAAATAAGGAAATGGCACGTTTTCGTGAAGATAGATGATGCGACAAATCCAAAAATTAGATGAAAAGTAGATTTTTCTCTCTTCTCTTTTTCTTTCATCGTACGTATACGATTTTCAGAACCAACATCTGCAAGTAATTCGCGCTTGGGTTTTTCCATTCAAGCCAAGTGAGAAATAATTTTGACAAGGATAATCGACAATGTCGTGTGGTGAGATAAATAAAAAGAGACCAGTCCTTGAATGGAAAAACATTTATTTGCTACTTTTTTCTTCATCATCATCATCATCATCATCATCATTATCAATAAAAAAACAGACTGATTACAGATAAATATACGATATGAAAACATACTAGACGAGTAAAGAAAAATAGAGAGAATGGACGATAAAAACAACGTCCCTGATGATCTAGTGCATAGGAAGAAGTTGGCAGAGTGTCGAGATATTAATAACGATAAATCTCACTTGATTGTTACGACTAAGGAAAATCAAAGTTTCTCTCGAGATTACAAAGATCACGGATAAGTAACAAACTAAGACTTTATCTTCTCTATCTAAACTTTGGTAACCTTTTCACGTCTCTAGACGCTCTCTTGTGACATATATATGTTATATGAGGCATTTAATAACAAAAAAGAAGTCAGGCTACTAAATTGCGAAATTGCGAGTCATCAACCGTTAGACTACTTCTTCCATTTCACCAGAACGTATCGTTAAATGTATTAAAACTAATACGTATGCTTGATTATTGAATAAGAGAATTGGTCGAAACTTTACAATCGTTACAGAATACAATTGATTAAATGATGAAAATGTCAATGACTAAAATAAAAGAACACAACATTGTTTTCTTTTTAAATGCTAATTATAATTAACACATTCAATGCGAGCAAAACAAGTATCGCGATGATTTTTGTTCATAATATCGAACGCAGTACATGCTTATTTTTCTACAAATTGTAGAGAACATTTAACGCTCTATACTTGGATTTTAATGATTAATGAGCAACAAATTGCAAATATTCGATATTTTGGATACAATAAAAAAATTAATCATAAGACCTCTAATCACATATAAAAATAATTAATCAATAATCTTCAGATCATTTTTCATTGCTTGTATAGTGGGGTTATATATATGTATATGTATAAAACTATATATATATATATATATATATATATAAAAATGTGTGTGTGTTTGTGTGTATGCTTTTTCAATACGTGTATATTAAATAAATACTAGTCACACATCGTACACTTGCAAGAAAAGTGACACAAGTAAAATATTAAATTCTTTAAAAGAAAAGAAAATAGCGTATTTTTAAATTAATTATTTACTATAGTATTAAATAATACATAAGTTAGAGTAAATCACAAATTGCTTGTTTCAAATTTTGTAGAAATAATATAGGTATTAACTTTGTTATGGTGTTATCAGTGTTACGTTATCTCGAAAAATTATCCTTTTTTTGATTTATTTTATTAGGAAAATATTCAATTTGTCATTTTTCCTAATTAAAGGCAGAAGTATTTAGAAGAACTCGCACATAATACAAAATTTAAAAAATTTCGACTTGCATTACTTTTTCTGCGAGAATGCGATATCATTGATTGCTATTTTTAACATAATACAAAATGGCTATTAAATGAGTTAATTGATAAACATTTGATTTTTATTATTATGTTTGTCGAAACAATGTATAATTAGAGAAAAAACGTAGGATTAGCCGACAAAATGTCATTAATATTTCTTCTTATCTTATCCACTCTTAAATTTATAAATATATAAAGAGAGAAGAACGTAACCTAAGGAGAACTTGAAAGGAACTGTAAAAGATATTAGTCAATTTTTATCATTTGATTGTACAGCATCGTAGATTTTATGACAAGATATTACAATTACTCATAAAATAATTATATTACATATTTAAAAGAACTAAAATTGATAAACAAAAAAGTAGTTATTTTACGTATAACATTAATTTTTCTGTACTTTAACGTTACAGGACGGCATTGTAAAGTTTTAAATAAAAGAATAAAAAAAAAAGAAAAAAAAAGAGTTTAGAAAATGAATCAAATATTGTATCATAAAAATGATCATCTATGATACTGTGAACAAACTTTGAATGATAAATGTCAGTCTATTAATTTTAGGTCAGTCTAAATAATCAAAAGATCATCAAAGCGTAAGAATAAATAAATTATGAAAAATCATTAAAGCCATGTGTTCCAATATATTATTACTTAGTTTATAACCTGTGCTGCGCGCAATTTGTTTTGTTTTGCTATCAAAACTACTTCAAAAAACTAAATGAATTTCGCTAGATAATACATGATGATCCGAAAATATATAATCCAAGACGAACAAGAATCATTTCACGACAATAAAATTTACCAATATATTAAAAGTAAAAAAGGAAGTAAAATGTGCATATATATATATATATA